TATTTATTTGATTTCATAAATGTATTTTATGATTAGTTATTTGTTTTTAATTTTAAAATAATAATCGTAATAATTCAATTAATCATTTTTATTAAATATATAATTATAATTTATAATGAATTATTTTATTTTTAGTATTTAATAAGGATAGTAAAAATTTAAATAATTTGATTTAACAATAATATTGTCATTTTATTTAATTAATAATAATAATAATAATAGTAACTTATTTATTTGATTTAATAATATTGTAATTTATAATGTTATTTTAAATTTCAAATATTATTATTATTGCTATAGTAACAATAGAAGTACTAGTAATAATTGTTTTTTATTTTAAAATAATAACTGTAATAATTGAATTCATCATTTGTATTAAATATATCATAATTTATAATGCATTATTTTATTTTTAGTTTTTAATAAGGATAGTAAGAATTTAATTTATTTATTTGATTTAACAATATTTTCAGATTTCATCTTGATTGTTTTATTTTAATTCTGTTCTGGTGGCATACAGAGCCAAAATGATGAAATTGTGTCAGTGTCCAAATATAATGGCTGTGGTTTTCCTGCAGTACCGTGTATGTCCAGATGAGGGCGCTCATGAACATGACTTCAGTCTGTGTGCTTCACTGACGTCCCTGTGATTGTGAGTGAATGAAGCCACACTGACGCTCTGTCTCTCCTGCAGGAGGTTCTGGGTTATAAGATCGATCATCAGGTGTCGGTGTACATCGTGGCGGTGCTGGAGTACATCTCTGCAGATATACTGAAGCTGGCGGGAAACTACGTGCGAAACATTCGCCACTTTGAGATCTCGCAGCAGGACATCACTGTGGCCATGTGTGCCGATAAGGTACGGCTGCACCGTTTCTGATCAAAATGATTTGAACCAAAAGCTCCAGGTTTGCTGTGCTTGTTTGTAGGACTGCATAATTTGACCAAAATTTTGTGATTATATATCAATATGGATATAAAATAATATTAATGATAACAATAATTGTTACTACTACTGAATATAAATACAAAATACCAAAAAAATTTATAAAAAAAATACTACGACTGTAATATTTCACTGTAAAAACAAAACAAGTATTTAAGAAAAATATAATATTAATAAATCATTAATAATAATAATACTTTTTAAATTTAAACAATTGAGGAAAAATTTTATTAAATTCAAAATTAATTGAAAAACTTTCTGTTTTATTTATATAATAATAATTGTAATAATATTTTTTATTGATAACTATTATTATTACTAAATAATTAAAAAATGAAATAAAACCAAAATATGAAATATTACTATTTTAATATTTCACTGTAAAAAAATGAGTACTTAAGAAAATAATATAATATAATAATTTTTATTTTACATAATAATAGTTATTATAATAATAATAATATTACTACTACTACTAATTAAAAATAAAAATACCAAATAAAAACAGAAATATTATTGAAATATTTCACTGTAAAAAAAATCTAATATTTAAAATAATAATAATAATAATAATCATTGTTATTTTAATTTAGAAAGTGTTTTTTATTAAAACATAATCATTTTAATAATACACATTTTTATTCATAATTTTATTATTATTATTAAATAAAAAAATTAAATAAGAAAAATTACTATTGTAATATATTTTACAAAAATGAGTAATTAAAATACTATAAAAATTATCATTTAATTTTACAAAACAACTCTAAAATGACATTATAATATTCATGGCTGTCTTAATTTCTTCATTTTCAAAACTTTTATTTTGACGGAACATCGCTGGAGCTTTAAAGCTGGTCTTTGGTTGTTCAGCGTTTCTCATTCTAAATGCATATTAAAGCACCTCAAACTCAGATCAGATGCAGAGATGATCATGTATTGTGACTCGCTCAGTCCCCGCCCAGCCGTGTCTCAGGCTCCGCCCAGCTCTGACCCTGACTCCGCCCGGTCAGGCCCCAGGCCCCACCCAGTCCTGTCTCAGGCCCCGCCCAGCTCTATCTCAGGCCCCACCCAGTCAGGCCCCGCCCCCCGCCTGACTGTGTCTCAGGCCCCGTCCAGCTCTGCCTCCACCCCTGTGTCTGTGCTTGCAGGTGCTGATGGACATGTTCCATCAGGTGGAGGAGGACATCCCTGTCTCAGGCCCCGCCCAGCCCTGTCTCAGGCCCCGCCCAGCTCTATCTCAGGCCCCACCCAGTCCTGTCTCAGGCCCCGCCTGACTGTGTCTCAGGCCCCGTCCAGCTCTGACTCCACCCCTGTGTCTGTGCTTGCAGGTGCTGATGGACATGTTCCATCAGGTGGAGGAGGACATCAGTGTGTTTCCTCTGGACGAGGAGCCGTCTGCGGCCAAGGAGCAGATGTACTATGACCTGGTGAAGACCTTCATGCGGAGGTGCGTCAGTATCTGCGCGACCTGAACCTCATCATCAGGGTGTTCCGCGAGCCCTTCTCCTTCAACACCATGCTGTTCTCTCCTCATGTGAGTCCCGCTCCTCCTCCTCCCCGCGCTGCTCCTGTTCCTGCGGCTCATGTGTGTGTGTGTGTGTGTGTGTGTGTGTGTGTGTGTGAGAGAGTGT